GACGCGGGCCGCACGGGGGGAGGCAGCTCCGACTGCCATGGTCTTTGAAAACACTCTTGGGGCTGCGGATAGGCCAAATGGGAGCACCGTGTATTGGTAATGATCGTTGCCCACGGTAAATCGTAGAAATCTCCTGTGAACTGGATGGACGGCAATATGAAAGTATGTGTCCTGTAAATCGAGGGACGCGAACCAATCCCCTTTGCTTAGTACTGGGATGATGGAGCCCAGGGTAACCATCTTGAATTTCTGTCTTTGCAGGTGGCGGTTGAGGCCGCGAAGATCTAGGATAGGTCTCCATCCTCCAGACTTCTTCTCGGTGAGGAAATACCGGGAATAGAAACCTCTGCCTCGGAACTCGGGAGGAACTACTTCTACCGCACCTATAGTAAGTAGGTGCGTGACCTCCTGATGTAGCAGAAATTCGTGAGAGGGGTCCCTGAAAAGGGACGGGGATGAGGGGTTGGTGGGAGGTAGAGTGGAGAAGGGAATGGTGAGACCAGAGGTTACGATCTCCCCGACCCAACGGTCTGTGGTGATGGCGAACCAACGGAGGCAATAAGGGTTCAGACGACAGTGGAAAAGCTTGGTTACTCATGGTGGGGACTCCAATAGGGGGATGGTACGCAGACCCTCGACAAGTCCATCAAACTTGCTGCTGAGGTTGTTGTTGATTCTGATTCTTGTTAGGCTGTTGGCGGCGATGTTGGGGGCGCAGGAGGAGGAGGAGGAGGAGGAAGCCTTTGTCTGTTATATGGCCAAGCTCTCCTGCGCCTGAACGGCGGAGTGTACATCCCGAGGGTTCTTAACGTGGCTCGGGAATCTTTTCCAGAATGGAACACTTGATCCGTGTTCTGGGCAAACAGGGAGGCTCGATCGAATGGAAGGTCTTCCACCTTGGGCTGTAGATCTTTTGGTACAGAAGCCAGGTGGAGCCAAGAGGCACGTCGCATGACGATCGATGTCGCCGTAGTGCGGGAAGCCGAGTCAGCAATATCCAGAGATATCTGGAGTGCATTACGGGCTGCTGTATAACCCTCCTGCACGATGGATTTCAGTACATCCCTTTTGGAGTGTGGCAGAAGTTGCATCAACGGCACCAACTTGGAGTAATTATCGAAGTCGTGGTTGGCCAGTTGGGCGGAGTAGTTTGCCATTCTTAGTGTGGCTGTTGCCAACGAATATACCTTCCTGCCGAGCAGGTCCAGATGCTTAGCTTCCTTGTCCGCAGCAGAATTTCTCGCTTGCGCGGACCTTGCCTTTCTTTTGCTGGGCTGCGTCGACAACGATGGAATTAGGGACGGGGTGAGTAAAAAGAAATTCTGCGTCTTTGGCATCAATAAAGTATTTCCTGTCTGTGCGTTTATTGGTAGGGGGCACAGATGCCAGGGTTTGCCAGATGTCATTAGCTACCTCAAGAATAGCAGCATTGAACAGGAGAGCTAGTTTCGATTTGTTGGCTTGTTGTAAGTTTCTGAGGAGGGCATGGTGCTTTTGTGGCGCCTCGGAGGTACATAAGTTTTGTGAATATGCTATCCGTTTGAAAAGTTCATGGAATTGTTTGTAATCATCCGCGAGAGAGGGTTCGTCATTAAACACCGCGTTGTCCAGGGAAGAGGAAGCGGCATCTGTCGGAGAGGCCGTGGGCTGTTGCTCTGCTACAGGTGACTGAGTGATATCGTCATGTGGGGCAGAGGCTGTTGACGCATCCCCACTAGGCGTTGGTGGGCGTTGAGCCGGCGGGATAGAGTCCTGAGTAATTGGCCGTGGTGAAAGTAATTGCTGCCGGTCTGGGGACGAGGGTGAGTGTCGTGTGATTGAACGTGAACGATCAGAATGGGGCGAGGTGTACATACAATGGCGAGAGCCACGGTGTGAATATTGCGGAGAGTAAGAAGCAACGCTCCTGCGGCGATAGTATCGGGAGCGAGGAGATCGCGGGGATCGTGAGCAGTATGAGTAGTGATACGGCAATCTCGAGTAGTATGAACGGTGATAACGGGGCGGTGTAATAGATCGCCTCGGGGATCTGTAGTAACGGTGCGTAGGGGAATAACCGTAATGGTGATCCCGCCGTCTTTGACGAGGTGAGAGCGATGCTTCAGGGGAAAACGTCGCCCTATCGGAACTGGGGGAAGGCATACGAGGATGGTGAGTCTTCCTTTGAGCCTTAGTCGGTACCCCCGTGGATGGGAGAGGCCTGGGGACTGGGCTACCCGGAATGGAGACAACTGAGGCAAAGTCAGAGACTTCCTCCGGGAGGCGTGGCGACCGAGGTGGAGAAGATGGGGATGGTGGTGCCGTCTCATCCCCAGAGCCGTTGGGTTGCGGGCCCGTAGGGGCCAGCGCCGAAGCAACGGACGGAGCCAGTTCAGCCGCGCACAATGGATGGTCGGTGCGGGCAGGTGCAGGCGTGCCTTGTATGTGCACCGAAGCCTTGAATGGGGGCGGGATGACCCAGGCGCCGAGTGTTTTCTCGGTGCCGTCTCCAGTATCTGTGCTGGTTGCGGCTTAGTCTTCGGTGCCTGCTTACGCTTCGGTGCCGGGTCGACCGCCGGTGCCGGATTAGCCTGAGAGCATTCATGAGGCAACGGTGCCGAGTGCCTCGGACCGCACCGTATCTGGCTGCGATGCTGCTCGGAGACTCGGTGCCGTAGATGACGGTGCCGATTCCGGGCGACCTGCCAGGACCGAGAGCACTGAGAGTGCGGGGCTCGGCGATGATGTACTACGGGCTTTCGGTAACTTCTCCACTCCCTGTGTGGGAGGGTGGCCCGACGAGCCTCGCGCCTCTCCTGCACTTAGACTCCTGGACGGAGCGGAGCTTCTTCCGTCCTTGGATTTATGCGTGCCCGGAGCTTCCCGTACTTCTACCGACAGGGGCTGGAGAGCCTTATTGAAGAATAGCATCTTCAGGTGCATTTCTCTGTCACGCCTAGTGCGTGCAGTCAGCACAGTGACCGCATTTCTGGGGGATGTGGCCCTCTCCCACGCAGCGAATACAGCGGGAGTGGCCATCAGAGACCAGCATGGCTTCACCGCACAAAGCGCATTTCTTAAACCCGGGAGAGCCGGGCATGCTTAGTGCGGCGGTCTCCGGGGGAAAGCAAACTTGAGGAGCTCGTGGAAGCGGCCCTCAGATTATAACGGGAAGAGAAGAAAAGGTTGGTTTTTTTTTTTAAACTATTAACTAAGATAATAACTGACTAACTATGTAGGAAGGGGATAACTGGGAAAGAATAAAGGAATAACAATACGAATTCTCCTCAGGGGAGGAGCGTGTTCCAAATCAGTCTGCGGCCGTGGACGGTTAGGAGGAAGTGGCGAGTCGGACCGCGCGATGCAGAAAAGGCGTGAACGCCGCGGAACACTCTGCGCATGCGCGGTCCTCCGGAGGGGGCTACTGCTGGCGAAAAATTTCCAGTTTGCGGCGCCGGGACGAGCCCGACATCTGTAGTGGAGCACCCACGGGGACATCACTCGAAGAAGAAGCAACTAGATTCCACCTCCAGAGGTAATCCATTCCAGTGCTTCACCACCCTCATAGTGAAATAGTTTTTCCTAATATCCAACCTAGACCTCTCTCACTGCAACTTAAGAGCATTGCTCCTTGTTCTGTCATCTATCACCACTGAGAACAGCCTCCATCCTCTTTGGATCCCCCTGCCCCCCGGTAGTTAAAGACGGCTATCAAATCCTGCCTCAGTGTTCTCTTCTGTAGACTAAATAAGCCCAAATCCCTCAGCCGCTCCTAAATCATGTGCTCCAGCCTCCTAATCATTTTGGCTGCCCTCTGCTGGACTTTCTCCAATGCACCCCGGGGGGGGGGGTACTAGAATTGGATACAGACTGTTTTAATGGCATGCCCCTTGTGAAGGAAATCCTTGATTTTGCTAAATTTCTGGTTTGGACAGAATCTTTTCCCCTATGCCAGTGTCTTTCAGGACTCCCAAATGAAAGGAACTGAAGGAGCATGACTGCTCTTTTTGTAGTATATTAACAAATCACAGTTTCCTAGAATACTGATTGCATGTAGTTAACTCCTCCGACTTTCTAAGAACAGAATATATTTCCTATATTTTAAATCTGAACATATAACCCTGCTTCCATAAAGTTTAGAATGCAGCTAAAAAATACAGCTGCAGCTTTTGGGGAAATATTAGTGCTTCTAAAACATACATTTTGTAATTTGTTTTATTGCTACCATCTTATAGTTACTGGACTGGATAAAATCTAACCATTTTACTTTTAATCCAGGTAAAATTTAAGTAGTGCTGGGGGACTGGCAATACTATCCACAGAAAATGGGGAATTACAATTGATCCCTTCATGGAGAGGGTAATAGCGAATGTCTGCCCCAAGCAATTAATTTCAGAGTGTCAAAGAAATTTCCTCTATTGGATTCCAAAACATTTGCCTAGAGACTGCAATTTTTCTTCCATGTGTTATTGTTGTCCATGTTAAGGATGTTAAGAGGCAGGTAACTGGCAAATCATGTAGTCAATACAATTTGTATCAACTATACAATTAGTCAATAAGGGAAGGTGCTCTATTCCAGCTCGCATTGGGCTTGGGAGCTACCTCCACTATGGTTTTGCATTTTAAATGTAGTAATAGCTGGGTGGTTCTCACTACATTTAAAATGCAGAGGTGCAGTAGTCCAAGACCCTGTGTGAGCTGGGACTGAGCCAGGCATGCTCAATCCTGACTCGTGGAGGGTCCAGCAGCGCCTGTCCACGGGGGGTCCTGACTTGCAGCGGGGCCCACACAGATAGATGCTGTTTCGTGGCAGCCTCCTGTGCCTTCTAGCAGAGGAGAGGCACATGGTACCGCAGAGACAGTGCGGGGGGGGGAGGGGGGGGAGAACCAGCTTTTAAGCCAGTTCTCCCTAGCACTGGCTGCTGCTTTCCCCCTCCTCTTTGCTGCCTCTGATACAGAAACAGCAAGAGGGGAGGAACACAAGTAGTCAACTACTTGACTAGTCCCTAATCCATTTTAAACACAATTCAAATGGTTTCTATAAAATCCAGATGGTCTGACTCCTAGACTTCTCCTAGATCATCTATGCCACCATGGCTATCAAGAAAGTTTAATTCTTAACTTCTTTCAAACTGCTAGTACTGTCTGCCCATAGGATTTCACTCCTGTGGGCTTATGATAAGTCATTCTCAGACAAACGTTCTGGGAATATGCAAGAATCATTTAAGAACATAGAACCTGCTTCAACTCTTTTTAGGAGACAATGGAATATGACCTGGATAAGGGGATGGACTGCACTCATCATGTTTGCAGATGACCTTAAATTAGAGGGCAAAGGTAGATATGCTGGAATGTAGGGATAGGATCCAGAGTGGCGTAGACAAATTGGAGGATTGAGCCAAAAGAAATCTGATGAGATTCAACAAGGACAAGTACAGAGTCCTGACTTTGGGATGGAAAAATTCCAAGTGCTGCTATAGGCTGTGGACCAACTGGCTAGGCAGCAGTTCTGCAGAAAAGAACCTGGGGATTACAGTGGATGAGAAGCTGGATAGGAGTTAACTGTGTGTCCTTTTAGCCAAGAAGGTTAACAGCATATTGAGGTGCATTAGGAGGAGCATTGCCAGCAGATCTGGGGAAGTATTCATTCCCCTTTATTCGGCAATAGTGAGGTCACATCTGAAGCTGTGTCAAATTCTGGGACCCACATTATAAAAAGGATGTGGACACATTGGTGAAAGTCCAGCATAAGGCAACAAAAATGATTAGGGGGCGACTTACCTACAGAAGAGAAGAAGGGGAATTGGACAGCAGCCTTTAACTAACTGAAAAGGAAGGGAGGATTCCAAAGAGGATGGAGAGAAGCAGTTCTCAGTAGGGACAGGTGACAGAACAAGGAGCAATGGTCTCAAGTTCCAGTAGTGGAGGTCTAGGTTGGATATTAGGAAAAATTGTTTCACTAGGAGGGTGGTGAAGCTCTGGAATGGGTTACTGAGGGAGGTGGTGGAATCTCCATCCCTAAAATTTTTTAAGTCCCGGCTTGACAAAGCCCTGGCTGGGATGATTTAGTTGGGGTTGGTCCTACTTTGGGCAGGGGATTGTGGACTCCTGAGGTCTCGTCCAACTCAATGATTCCATTAATTTGAGACTATAGCCCAAAGGACACTTATCAGTGAGGTGAGATGGAAGAGCATGTAAATATGTTCAGTTTGTGACAGTTTTAGACAAGAAGTTTATTTTAAATTCTGTAATATGCACCTAATGTCACAAAATGTAAGTCTATTCAACACATATACTTTTAAAACAGTACCCACCCTTCCTGACAGCTTAACTCAAACAGAAAAACAAAACTTTTACTTATAAATACAACATACATTACACTTGGTGTGGCAACTTGGTTGTGAAGAAAATTGTGAAATCCCATGTGCATTAAGAGTTTACATGTGTTTGAAGCCACTTTAGCCAATTAAATCAAGTTGCATTTTTCACTTAAGCTATTTAATATTAAAATTTGTTTTGCGATAGATGGAACATTTGGCTCAAGACATTTCAGTTTTATGTTAGAAATTTAAATATTCCAGTGATTGAAATAATACACGGCCAATTGTGCTGTTTTCCAGAGCTAGTCCACTGAAGTTGTACCTCACTATTTACTTAGGGTACGTCTAGACTACATGCCTCTGGCGACAGAGGCATGTAGATTAGGCTACCCGACAGAGTAAAATGAAGCGGCGATTTAAATAATCGCCGCTTCATTTAAATTTACATGGCTGCCGCGTTGAGCCGACAAACAGCTGATCAGCTGTTTGTCGGCTCAGCGCGATAGTCTGGACGCTCCCCTGCCAACATCAAAGGGAGTTGTCGACAACCCAGGTATGCCTCATCCCAGGAGGCATACCTGGGTTGTCGACAACTCCCTTTGATGTCGGCAGGGGAGCGTCCAGACTATCCCGCTGAGCCGACAAACAGCTGATCAACTGTTTGTCGGCTCAACGCGGCAGCCATGTAAATTTAAATGAAGCGGCGATTATTTAAATCGCCGCTTCATTTTACTCTGTCGGGTAGCCTACTCTACATGCCTCTGTCGCCAGAGGCATGTAGTCTAGACGTACCCTTAGTGATGTGACCTCACTATTGCCAAATAAAGGGGAATGAATGTACCAATGTATTTTATTATAAGTAGAACTAAATTTTTCTTTGGTGAGAAGAGAATATTCAATTCCCTTCTTCCTTCATTCTCACCAAAAATGCTGCTAGTGTCTTCATAGAAAATGGCAAATTGTGAAGTTTATATTTGTGAATGAGACTAGATTAGTATAAATCCAGAGAAACTGTGGGAGGAATGTACACAAAATATAAAGAACCTTAAGTCCAGGCCATTTATCTTAATGAATGAGGAAAGGGACAAGTGGCAAAGTCACCCACTAATTATCCCATTGCCCAATACTGAAGGTATCACAGGAGATTAGCCATAGAGTAGTTTACAAACAGTATATTTCTCACTCCAATTAAATATACAGTATTATAAAAGTTCTTAAAGTTACAGTACTAAAATGCTAAAAAAGTTTAAAATGTGCAAAAATAAGTTTTTTAAATACATTATTAAACTTTTATTTGCTGCACTGATGAAATACTAGTAAGGCACCTATCATAAGTGTTAATAGACGAGTCTGTAAATTACTAAAAATATCAAATTAACATTTTAAATAAGTGTGGATAACTTTTCCAGGCACAGTTTCAAGTGCTGCTATCCACCTTAACGTAAGTATTCTAATTATCTGGGTCACATATGCAGAGTTAATTTAATCAAATACTGTAAATAAGGTTCTTCACCCATCTTACCAACAAATGCTTAAAATATTAGAAATCTAAGCATTTTTAAAAACCAATTTACTTTTCATGTTATATGCTATCTTTACCTTTTCTATCTCAGTACAGAGAATGGAAAGCAACATAATTTCAAGTGTTCACTGCTACAAAATCTGAGTTACAAACACTAGAGAAATGTTTGTTTTAAAAAGCCTTTTCATTAACATTTTTTAAAAGATTTTTGTTTTTTCCCCTCTACAAAGTGTTAGTTCTGTTCTATAGATAACATGACCCATCCCTTTTATTGAAAATATGCTAACATGAACAAAATTTAAACTAGCTTCTTGAGGCTTGTCCTTTGGGGTCTGTGAAGAGAAATACAAGCTGAGAAACCAATTACCTGCATCAATTTCCTTGAGAGCTCATTAGTGAGAAATTCTTCTTCCTTTTCATAGTTCACTGCAAGTGTCTCTTTCTCCTTCTGCAAAGCCTGAATCTTCTTAAATAGAGTATTACTGATGAACTCCTCTTCCTGTTCTGCCCTTGCTTGCTGTGAAAAGAAACATTTTAAAGCTACAACTATTCCTTTTTGATCTTAGAGTATTCTGAAAATAATACACATTTCATCTGTTACTTGTTCCCAAAAGGACTGTGTTCAGGTTAGTAAACACCATTACTTTCATTGAAACTCTGCCCTGTAATGCCATGTTTCTTTGTATCAAGTTTGGAAGCCCTGTTATTTTCGATCCAAGCATTTTTTTAAGCCCTCTAACATTAAGAAAGGTCCAGCCTACAGCTGGCAACAATCAAACAAACAAAAATCCTACTATTGGTTGGGAATGACCATCACCCCAATCTTTCAGTTTTTTATCCTGTAGGGATTTAACAGCATAAAGGTATAAATGGTTAACTGATGAGTCTGGGCTCATCAGTTATTCTTCACAGTTACACGCAGGGCCTCCTCCCTGTGCTGCCACCTCTGTATCAGAGGCAGCAGCATGGGATGGGGGACAGACAGGATCCGGTACTCACAAGGAGCTTCCTTTGAATCCAGGTCCCTTACGTAGTGGTTCTCACCTTTCCCCACAACACCCACATGTAAACATGTAACTGCTGAAATTTTCATCAGTTATACATTTACTTGAATACTCTCATTTTTACATCTCTACTTCAGACTGACTTTTTCAACTTTTAATACAGAAAAACAAGGTTAAAAAAAAAAAATCACATCATCCTATAACCACCCCATGTCCAAAGAGCTCCAGCGAACAGAGGTTGGCTACCACTTAACTCTTCCATTTGAAGAGCTTTCTCTCCAGGAAGGACTCCTTGTTTTACCAGAAGGAAAATGAAGCAGCATTCACACTCAGTCTCTCCTTGAAGATTAAGTACTCAAAGATTAAGTACTCCTGAAGAGTTCAGATCCTCCTAACTTTTCTCTCCTATCTTAGAAGTTCTGTGGGGACATTGCAAAACTGCCTGATGTATTCTTTTCAAGTCCACATAGGCCACACAGATTATTCCATACATACAAACTGAAGTTCATAGCTAAATGATGCAACCGCCAACCTCTCCCTCCAAAATAGATCACACCTAAGTAAATTAACAGAAAAAAAAACCCAAACTTAGAATGATAGGCCACAATGGGCTTTTTATTTCTCAATAAAATATTGAAAAGTTATCAAAAAGTTGTAAATCCTATTTTTGAACTCTAATAAATTATCCTTGTCCATTTTACCCCAACCTTATAAACAAACAAAAACATATCCTGGACGAACATGTAGCATGTAAAGATTTAGGAGTATCAGTTACACACAAGGATGAAAAAAAAACGGTTAAAAATCCAAGAACCAGAATTATAATGGGATGTTAGCCTGAAATTTAACTGTGCCTCTGTAACAAAAATCCTTCAGGCAAAATCTAACAGTACACAACATATATTGCAAGTTCAGTAAATTTGCAACATAAACCTTCTCAGAAGACTTAATACAATAATATATCACTCTTATCCATTTGAAGGAAAGCCATAGCCCCCAAAGACAGCTATTTTATGAGGAAATAGCTGCCATGATTACAATCTTCCGTGAAAGTTGTTACAGAATCCTCAAATTTCTTTCAAATGCACAAGACGTTTTTATAGGATGAAACGTAAACCCAAGCCAATTGTTACAATAGAAATATTCATGTTTCATCTACAGCAGCGTTTCCCAAACTATGGCGCAGAAAAAAATGCCGGGCCTTGGCATGCCTGGTGGCTGCCAGCCCTTAGGCCGATTCGACCCATTAGGTTGAATTGGGCCCCATGCCCCTGCACCCGGAAGTGCCAGGGAGTTAAGAGCCGGGGCCCTGCTCCACCACTATGTGGAGCTGGGTCTCTCCCTGGCTCTGCCTGGAGTGAGCCCCGGATTCCCCCCTGCGCGTTCTCCCTCCCCCACCCCCAGAGCGTTCCCCTCAGCCCCGGACGTCCCTGCCATGCGCAGTTCCTCCTCGCCACCTGCCGCCCATGCGTGGCGTTGCACGTGGGCGGGGAGGACACCCAGGCGTGACGTCACAGCCCGGGGTTTTGAAACCCGTGGGAGGCACGTGGCAGGGCCTGGCTGGCTCCGGGTTTGGCCTCCAGGGCCTGAGTGCAGACTCTGGCCCCGCAACATGGAAGGAGAAGGTAGGGAACCGGTGGAGGTGAGGAGAGGCAAGGTGGGGGGGGCAGGGGTG